TTTGGATCGTTTGGTTTGATTTCCGGGCTACCACATGATCATCCGGAGCACAACCTGGTACACATTTTCGATTTGCTTGATTTTAATTGTATGACGTATGATAAAAATTAATTGAAATTGATTTTTCGGTAGGCCTGCCTTGCATTGTCACACAGCTGCTAAGCCTAAACAGAAGATTCTCAAACTGCTGCTACAGTCGTGAAGCCAGAAACAAGGGATTCTTGCAGTCACAGAACTAAACTAAAACGATCTTGAACTGCTACTACAGTCGTGAAGCCAAAATCAAAAGCTCTTGAAAACTGCTGCTGCTGCTGTGAAGACAAAACAGGGTTTCTTGCACTTCTGCAGCAAAAGGCCTTTGAAGCACTACTGCAACTGCAAGTCGAAAACTAAGTCCTTGCATTGTTTCTTGTTCTCGAACTGCTAGCCACTGCGAAGCCAAAACAAAGAGCCCTTTAACCATCACTACGCCCTGGAGCCGAAAACAGAAGATTCCTGAACTGCTGTTGCTGCTGTGGAGCTGAAAAGGGTTCCTGCACTGCCCTTACAGCGACCGAATCAAGACAACAGGCCCTTGAACTGCCGCTTCAGCTGCGAAACCAAAACAAAAAGTCATTACACTACCACAATGACACAAAGCCAAAATACAAAGAGACCCTGAACTGCCACACTGCAGCCTCGAAGCTTATTTATCATTTAGCCATTTAACATCGTGTCATTTACCAAAAATTTATTAAGATATAGTGCTTTCAACAAAGAAATCTAGATGAATACGATAGAGCCAACCTTCACTACAAGGCGAGCGATAGCGAAAAGAAAGATAACTTTTCCTACTAACTAAAGGCCCTTAAATATCCTTGAAAACAAACTAGCCTATCATAGCAACTCATCGTATTCTCATCAATCATATCGATATGTTATCATAATATTAGTTAGAAAACACCTGCACCAAACAAGATACAATAAGGACTGTTACACAAAATTCGTAAGAATCAAAATGACAAATTGAACATGTGATTCGATAAAGTTATCTGATTTCGCAATAATGATCGCCCTGTCACTTCGGGCTTTTCAATTCTCACGCTAAATATTTGCATTTAATTTCGAGGGGGCGCATTAATTAGAGGCTGTCTGTACATACATGTTATACGTAAAAATTTCATATTATTTTAGCTAATGACCCAAATTAAGATCCAAACAAAAGTTTACAATGTAGCACAAATCAATCTTAACCTAAATAGAATTTTGAAAGATGTAAAATGATCTGAATTATTTAAATTGCTTTGAAGATTTTATACTGCGCACATTTATTAAGAAATAATATAAATAGCATTTGATTTAGCTTTCGTTCATACTATTATTACCTTCTCAAGTTTTTTTGAAAACTACTATTCATTTGAATTTCTAAACTCTTATTCCAACGTTTCCCTTAAATTTATAAACTTTTATCTGACCATGTTGGGAAAATCTTTTGTCCTTTTTATTACTATCGTTCTTGCTTTAACCATGAGCATGCCTACTCTTGGTATGATTTAATATTCACTTTCTATGTTATATTTCATGATACAAACTAACATACGCATATATTATTATTTTATTAGCTGGTGAATATTAAGTTATTATATTCTTTATATTCTTTAGAATGTTTTGATGACTATTAACTTATAATTTGTACATTTTTCTATCAAATCAGATGATTACTGTGATTGCAGTGGTTTTGATGCCAGAATTAGTGCACTCGAACAAGCGTTCAGTGATGCACAAAACAGGTTATATATTATTTTATATTTTTGATCTTTTGATTATTAAAATTTTTTTATTATTCTAATTTCTATTCTAAAATAATCCAGTTTTACTACAAATCAACTTATTGTCAACGAAATTGATATTAATCGCTGGAAAATTTCATATGAATCAGGTCAAGCATTGGTCTTCCGTGATACACAAGGCAGTGGCGATAAAAGATACGCCATGTATAATGATAAATACGTTGATGTCAAATAATATATTTTTTATATAACAGTTTTATATCAGTTTATAGATTTTATAATATATAGTTTTTAATCACTTGGAAAAATGATTTATACGAATTTTTTTTCAAATCTTTTATTTCCATTTTCCCATTTCATTTACATATCGATATATTCTGATAATTATTTAACATTCAATTTGTTGCTATTATTTCCTTTGTCAACTGTGCAGCCGATAAAAAATCCTTGCCGAGCCTAGAATAATTTAGTTTTGTTAAATAATAATAAATGAAAATAATTACTGTACGATACATCTCCACTATCCAGTTGTTTCTGTTGTCACGGGTAAAATCGACTGTGGCCAAAATTAAGATATCACAATCGATGATTGTATACCGAGAATCCGATTAGATGCATGCTTCTGATTGACCTGCCATTTGCATTAAAAAAAATTTTCTCCATTTTTTACGAGTCGAAATGCATCGGAACTAGGCCGACATTGAGCAATGTTAGCTGACATAATCTATAGCAAAATTATCGCTGGGTATTTTTACTTAATGAATGAGCTATGACTTCATTAGTAAAATTGGGCAAAATTAATCATTCTGCCCCGGAATTTTGGGATCCCCTGTATGAGTTTTCTAACAGGATGGTTACACATCTAATCCCACATGATGTGATCAATTAATTATAAAATTATTTATATTGAGTTCAATTTTATAATGTATGTTACAGATATAATCCCTCACTGGTTAAACTATATGTGTAACAATAACGTTCCCTCTTGTTGAGTTTTT